ACTACTACTACTACTACTACTACTACTACTACTACTACTACTACTACTACTACTACTACTACTACTACTACTACTACTACTACTACTACTACTGCTACTATCAAAGATAGTATAGCCTACGGTACTGTTACAACTACTAACAATAATAACAACAATAATATAATAATATAGCAGGTTGCATTTATATAGCGCATATTCCTATCAAAAATTGAGATACATGTACTTTTGAATCCGCAATAAAATATTCTCAGTTTCCCAGAACAAGCTGTGATAAGGCAAAGGTATGGATTTGTCGCTCCGTCCAACACTGCCGGGTAATGCAACTTTCCTGGCATATAGAGTCTTCATTATCTCTCCAACTTTATTAATTTTTCCCGTATGTTTCTATCTTGTAACTTTTCTAATATTTGACACTTAGGTGGTCTAATTGTGTTGCAAGTGATGTCGTCGTCAGCTCCTTCTGTCTCGGGAGACAATGGCTGCACCTGTTCGTCACTCCTTTCCAGAACAGCTTCTGGTGTGGCAAAAAAGACCAATTTTAAATTGCTGTCATCCGTGTTGTGCTCTCATCTTAGAAGAGACTTGAGTGACTTCTCCAGGCCGCGGAAGTATATGGAGGTCCAGTGCTGCCCAGACGACAAGTGATGTAGAACTTTTACTAAAACTGACAGGAACCTTGGGAACATGCTAAAGAGACAAAGCGGTAGAACGCCGCAGTTTGGCATCTGCTGTTTTTGCACGTCATGCGTTTGAGGGTTTGGTACTTCAGAGATGTATCAATGTATTGATGTGTACAAGATCAATCGAAGACGTTGGGTGGGCGCTCTGGCGTACTTTTCTCCTCGTTTTCTATCAAACATCAATTGTCTTTTTTTCTCCTTATTTTTTTTTTGGTGCGTTACTCTCTCGTAATATCTCTAATTTTCGGCACTTATACGACCTATTTGTATTGCAAGTGCCGTAAAACTCTAAATAAAACTAACAAATAGATTGAAGAAGACATGTGATTGTTGAGCTTAATTTGAAGAAGAATGAGTAGTCCTTGATAGTAGCTGGAAAAAATATATTTACATTATAATACACTGTACCTTTCTGGCTATGGCATTGTTGAGCTCTGAGTTTATTGTCCGAATCTGTGAGGTGAAAGGGGGTGGGGGTGTACCGGGAGTTTCTGTTGCCAATGGTAGAACTTGAACTGAAAACAGAATTAATACTGCATTTCAACAAACAAATGTTTATCTAATATACTACAGAAAAAAAGTTAAGGGCCACTTAGTTTTAGCATAAATTCTGAATTAAGGAAGTGCTCATAATCCAGCATGCTCTATGTACGTTCTTTACTCTGTTAAGCTGTACACTGTTCGGGTTCTATAATGTTAGTGTTTGCGAGTCCAATTTAAGTTGTTGACTAAGGTATATACTATCAATTTTCAAAGTCACATGAAACAAAAGAGAACAAAAATAAGATACTTATATGTTACCCCCTTTTAACACATCTAATCTTCAGCACTTAATAGACCTTATTGTGTTGCAAGTGTCGTAAAACTCATATTAAAACAAAATAAATAAATATATTAATAAATTAACTCACCGTTCTCTCCTTCGGGCGTTGGCTTTAAGTTCTTGCTCCCTTTCCCAGAGGGGTTTCTGTCCTTGTTGGCCGAGACCACAATCTGGGGCAGCTGTTGATAAGTCGTTAGAGTGTGCCGTTTGCTCATTCGGTTTCATGCCTATCTACATTGTGCAAGACTTTGGTTCCAGCCACTTATTAAAATTCTGTTCCCTATCGACTTAGCTCGTACACATTAGGCGAGCCTCTTGACCGTTTACTAGTGCGGTCAAAATTTCGTGGCGCAACTAATCCTCAAATATCTTTAACGAGTAAATCGATGTCACCCATACTTTGCAAAGCAAATTGTATCAATTTGTCCTAACTTAATTAATCAAATTTTCCCATTACGATTAGAGCTGAATTTTTTTTCTTCTAATTTTCTCCCTTGAATTTATTAAATACTAAAAATTTACGTCACTCGCAAAAGGAGATTATTCCCAGATCTTCCCGCTTTCCACACACATTTTGCATACGCTTATGACCTACGTCAAAGCTAACCAATGACACTTTTTAGGGGCAAAGCTTGTTACAACAAATTGATTTTACAGTGAACGCTTTTTCCCCCTAAATGCAAACAAAACAGGCGTTAAGTAAGCATAACGTCGCGATTAGAAAAGGTAAAGGGCGGATTTTCTTTACAAAGCGATATTGTCCCAGCTGTAAACCTTTTAAATCTGTAGAAACGACCCACTGAGATTTTAAATTAGAAATCATTAAGGAACTTTCTAGGATATAGTTAACAGGTGTTTTCAAAAATGTTGATCTGTTAAGACAAACTAATACCAGTTACAGTGCAAAAGCTGGAGACTTTCTGTTCGATAGTTGGGGCAATATTTGACAACAAGTTGCGCCACGAATTTTTGACCGCACTATAGTGTTGAAAGAGAAGTTCAGTACCGCAATGTGTAGGAGTAGAGGTCAAATTTTTTTTCCAGCTTCATATGGAATACTATTTTTATGAGAAGTATATCATTAGATATATTCAGAGAATATCTTGAGAGTGCGTTAAATTTTTCTAATATTTCGTGAGAGACAATGGAACGTACACCGACGGAGAAAGGAAGAGAGAGAGAGAGAGAGAGAGAGAGAGAGAGAGAGAGAGAGAGAGAGAGAGAGAGAGAGAGAGAATACGGTTAAAAGAAAGACTTGTTGTTAAAAGAACAGGCAGAGGAATATTGTTGTTTTTTTAAAATCATTTACGATAGTATTTATCAGTGCTGCTGAACGTGTGCAATGTGTAGCAAACCATTTAACCAATGTTTTTTTTATACTAGATGGTGATGATGATGATGATGATGATGATGGTGATGATGATCGATTGGTCCACCTGATCATTTTCCCTGGTTCCATCGATCTACACCGCCATGGCACCACTTTCTTGATCAATGCACT